ACAAAGACGGGATGTTCCAGAGATGGGACACACACACGAGAGGTCACAATTGGAAATTGAAGACTCGGATGAATCAAAGGGATGTTAGGAAGTATTTCTTCAGTCATAGAGTAGTCAAGCCGTGGAATAGCCTAGAAAGTGACGTAGTGGAGGCGGGAACCATACATAGTTTTAAGGCGAGGTATGATAAAGCTCATGGAGCAGGGAGAGAGAGGACCAAGTAGCAATCAGTGAAGAGGCGGGGCCAGGAGCTATGAATCGACCCCTGCAACCACAAATAGGTGAGTACACACACACACACACACACACACACACACACACACACACACACACACACACACACACACACACACACACACAAAAGTTCATAAACAAATGTATTGAGCACTTGTCAGTGAAGGGTATCCAACATATAGAGAGGAGAACAGAAATAAAAACGAGATAATGTATTTCGACTCCCAGCTGAGGCCCTCATCAGCAAAATCTGACGAGGACACCCGTTGAGAGCCGAAATATACAAGCTCATTAACATTATTTTTCTGTGAACATACGGGATATTCCTCTGCATTCACATACAGTTTTAATAGTATCATTCCCCCCCCCCCCACTCCCCCTCCATCACTTCCCAAACTCACTTTCACCCAGACTCGCGCACGCTACAGAAAACGTATGTTAGTGGCAGACTTTTAACGGCACTTGCTTGTATTCACTTGTACACAGGTCATTGTTTCTGGTTCCTTTTGGGTTGATAGGAATCCCATGGAGTGTGTAGAAGTTTTTATAGTTGGATTTTAAATTGTATGGCTTGGTTCTACTGGAAGATTGTGCCATGGAAGATTGTGCTTCAATGTGCAATTCGTAGCTCAGTGGTCAGATTGTTGAGTTCGTAGCATATATATCTCCGACTTGATTTCCAGGCCAGACGAATCGTTGGGCTTAATTTAATACTCGACCCGCAATAAAAGTCCCCTACTCGCCTAGTAATAAAAATCAGTACCTGTTTATTAATCGACTTCAGGAAGTCAAGCTGGTCGAAACTTGTCAGTTTGTCAAGACTTGCTGGAAGTAATTAGTGTTGGGTACAAGGTATCCGCATAATGCTGTGTAACTAATAATTTAAAATCATGATATGGTCAGGGTTTACGGATCATTTGTCTACGTACATGAAACAGTTAGATAAATTTCGAAAATAAATTAATCTTAAATATAAAGTCTAGAAAATGTGGAGAACTTGCCCATCATTATATGTTTGTTCCCATAGGCTCAGAGACCCTTGGCTCATGGGGAAAGAGTGCATCTAAGTTCCTTAAGGAGCTAGGCAAAAGACTCATCATGGTAACTAGGGATGGATCCCAGGACAGCTAGTTTTCTGCTCCAGCGACTCAGCGCTGCTGTTCAAAGGGGTAATGCATACTGTATTTTGGGCACGCCCCAGCTCTGAGGAGCTGGATGAATTTTCGCATTATAATCAGTGACAAACGCGTGACAGTATGTACTAGATCTGTATCTCTCACACCTCATGTACTTCATGTGCCATCTTTGTATCAGCAATGTATCTCTCAAATCTTCTGTACCACATTATGTAATAAAATATACCTATTGGTAAAAAAGAATGAAAAGATGGGGTGGTAGGGGAAGTGGAATATTCAAACGGCTTCAGGAAGAAATCCAAATATTCTTCCTTGAAGCCTTTTTATCCACTTCTCCCAGGCTATAGGTCCCACAATTTACACCTGAGGTGGACCCCATCCTAATTAGTTAATGTATTTAAAGTTTATAGAATATTATTCAGTTTTTCATATTGTAACTCTTAATTTTTAATTACCGTAATTAACTTAACATACCTCATTGCGTGGAGGTGTTTTTAGGATAACTCACGCCACAGCCACACTGGTGTGAGATTCGTCTGTAAAAGCTTGCGTTTGTGGTCACAGTAGTGGCCCATGCTAGCCTCCCTATGGTGTATAGAAATACGTATACCTAGTTGGATGAATCTTTTTTTTAGTCAGTTGGTCAAGTGGTTAACACACTGTCCTGTAATTACGTTTTAATGACTCATTTGTCATGGGTTTAAGTCCCATCCGTCCCGTGATTTATTTATTTTTTTAAGTTAACATTTGTGTGCTTACGGAGTTGTACACAAGCATTACACTTTCTGGGGGGTGAAGTGTTATAGCTGGATCCTAACCTCTTGGGTGCATCATGTCTACCTTGGATGACATTACTGCAGTTTCTTCCACTACCTCATTAGTTGTGTATTACTTTTTTACCACACTAATGGAAGAAGTATTTCCTAACTTTTCAGTGACTCCAGTGTAATTACCAGTAATTTTGTATTAGTGATTACAGGAGTAGGGCTTTGCTTGTGGTAACCTCTCTTCAGCGAGTCATTATTTTTGAACTTTAAATAGTTTTTGCACTTCCTACAATCTTTTGCGTTGCTTGTTTAGCAATTATAGAATGAGCTCTTTTGTTATCCCTGTTGTTAGCTATCCCTGTTGTTAACTGTTTTATCATATACTCTCAGCAGTTTATGTGTGATTATCACATCTTTTCTTTTTATTCCCTGATATGATAAATTTTTTTTTCAGTATCTAATATTTGTGTGTTTGTTTTCGTACGTCCGTTCACGTGCGCCTGGAGGAGAAGGATTGGAGTGAAGGATGGAAGGAGAGTATACTGAACTAGCGGCCTCAACAGAGATGCACTGGAATTTACATTCACTAGTCGTTATTTCAAAATAGTGGTAGATAAGCCAAGTTGTGATGGTTATGCTGGCCCAGGGCAGCAAGAGTCTGGTTGGACATAGTCAACAAGACAGTATGGTTTCAGGCCGGGCGACGAAATCTCGATACTGTTTACAGGCTTCAGTAGTCTCAGATTACATGGCATTTTCCAATAACTGATCGTGGGACCTAGTCGGTGATATGCCTGAGCCGCTTCATTCATGTGACATCTTCAACCGGTTTTGATAGTTCTGAGTCCGCAGCCCGGCTGGAGGCCAGGTTTCCTCTTGACTACCTCACTAGACACTGTTGCACTTCGTGACCAAATTTTTTAAGGGGGTAGACTGGTAGGCCAGCAGGCCTCAGTCAGATGACCAAAAGCTCCAGCTGCTGGTCAACATATGACTGAGACCCGAATCAGTAAACACTTGTCATGTTTCCTGACAAAGCCTTGTATAACCATCATAACTTGGCTGATCTGGCAAGATATGCACGATCCAGCTTAGTTTTTCCTTTAAACATTTACCTTTGTCTTGCCAAATATGTAAAAGGAAAATTAGATATATACTGGTAAATGAGATATATACTGGTAAAAGGTTGAGGAGGCAAGGACCATAAGTGTGTTTTAACAGTCTCTCCAGTATGTGCTTATGGCAACCCTGATTTTCCCTAAAGTTTCTATAAACTCTAATATTCTCTTTTCGCAATATAACTTATCCAGTGCCATGATTTTAAGAAAATTGTCCAATTATGCCGCGAGAAATGACGCCGGTGGTGTCACTAATTTCGGTTGACGGCTTTGTTCAAGGAGGTTAGGTAAGGTTCGTCAGGAAACAGGACAAGTCTTTCCTGACGTGGGTCTTAGTCAGATGATGACCCGTCTTTGGAGCATTTGGTCATCTGACAGACCTTCCGCTGGTTTACCAGTCCATTCCTTTAAAAATGATGTTCATAGTTATAACCATTTTTTTTATTCAAGGAAGAGATAGCAGAGTATGATATCACAGGATATGGAAAAAGTATAGAGTATTTGCTGCCCACATAGTCGGTAAAGCGTTTATACTACCGGGATCTCTTCAGGGTACTTGGAATATACTCTCTAGAGCGAAGAGAACATGATATGTACATGGAAAATACTGAAGGGACTCGTGCCAAATCTGCATTACTACAGTAACATACTGGAGTAAGAGATATGAGAGGAAGCGTAAAATAGATTCAGTGAAAAGCATGGGCACCATGGACACATTAAGAGCACAGTAATTCAACATCCATGGTTCAAGACTAGTTCCCTACCAGCAGATACCAGAAATATTGCCTGAACAAACGTATAAGTCTTCAAGAGGATACTGGATCACAACCTCTGCGAGGTGCCTGATCAACAAATCTATAATGGCTCTGTTGGTGAGTGGGCCGCCAACAGCAGCAACAACCTGGTTGTATGTGGTTGTTGCTGTCGTCTAAAAACAAAAGTCTGGCCCAGGCCGGGCTACGAGGGTAGAAAAACCCTAAACTGGTCACAATATATCAGGAAAGTTTGAGATTAAGTCAATTAATTTTTTTTCACCCCAACAGGTTATGTCTAGCTCATATATTCATGTAATGGTGCAGCGACGTGCAATTTAATAATTAATATGAATTTCTAAATATTTCTCGCAAAAATATTCAGTAAAAGTCCCACATTTAGTCATCAAAGAATGATAAATTTTGCATTTAATTAATTCATATTTATATAAATATTCCATTTTAATTAGTTTTTATACCAGTTCGCAATTCATTGCAATTTACGATTCTGCTTGTAGTGCACAAGCCTAAATGGTTTTAATGAGGCTGGTATTTGTCAGGAGAAATATTGAAGCTTCTCTTAACGGTCTGAGAGCGGGGCGCGAGGGCGTTGACCCTCGGAACACTCCAGGTAGTGGGTCTTGGTGACTGTCTTCGTCGTATGACCGAGGCCTTACCCTGACTTACCGGTTAACCCTAAAACACTACGATGTACTGGGCTTTACTTGGATATATTGGGCTACATTAGGATATATGGGTTACATTAGGATATATTGGGATACACTGGTCTACGCTAGGATGTATTGGGATACACTGGGCTACGCTAGGATATATTGGGATACACTGGGCTACACTAGCGATTTATTGGGATACACTGGGCTACACTAGGAAATAAAGATCCCATCAGAAGATTAGACTAGGTTTTCCAACCCATAATAAAGAAAAATGTCACTTGAATTTTTTGTGTGTTAATAATGTTTGTGTGTTTCACAGCCTCGTCACTCGGCTAAGCTGCTGGGGGTACTACGTCAGATGCCCAACCGTTCGGGTCCAGACGTCTTCTTCTCTTTCCCTGGCAAGAAGGGCTCGGTGAGTACTGCTGGTTTTGTTTATTCGTCAGTGAAAGTCATGATAAAATTTCCTTGATGAAGGTTTCCTCTACTTAGTGTCGCTAAACTGCCACTTGTCTGCTCATGTCATCGTTTACCAGCTTGGATGGGTGTTTCCCTGACAACACATGATCACTAAAGACAAAATTTATTGTGCGTTAGGTAAGGCACTTGACACTTCACCGCTGGTATGCTGCTGATGGGATGTGCATCGCTCTCTCTCTCTCTCTCTCTCTCTCTCTCTCTCTCTCTCTCTCTCCTCTCCTCTCGTCCCCTCTCTCTCCTCTCTCTCTCCTCTCTCTCTCTCTCTCTCTCTCTCTTCTCTCTCTCTCTCTCTCTCTCTAGTGCTTCCTTTTGTCTTTCCAGGAACCTTTTGCCACTTGTCAGGAAATCCTTTACCGTTTCTGGCAGCAGAACAGAAGTTGCTTGTGATCAACTATCCTCTGACCCCTTCTTTCCTTCTTACCTGCCCCTTGCTCTTTTTCTCTGTCTTCCTTCCCACATTTCTCCCCCCTCTTTTTTTTTTTACCCTCCAACCTACGTCTCATCCTTCCACCGTATCAGTTCACCTTCCTACACATTTCCTACCCCTGTGCTTATCCTCACTTTCGGTGGCTTCCCTTCCCAATACACTCAAAATCTCATTTTCCTCCTTGCGACGTCAAAAAAATTTCAAATTAATTTATCTCCCTTTATAACCTTTCCTTATTCATCATTGTTTCCCTCATAACCTTGCCTTCTATGACCTTTCCCCAGCATTCTTACCCTTTTCATCATCATCTTCCACTTCATTTGAACTTTCTCCTCTTTATTACAGTCTTCCACATTTTATTATAAGGTTCCTCTGTTCCTCGAAACTTTTCTGTTTTCAAAATCTTTCGTTTTACTTTAACTTTTTTCATCATAACCTTCCATGCAAACAGATTTTCCCCTTTCGCGAAGGTAACAAATTGTGTGAGCTGGTGAGGCAGGTGAAGGTCGTATGAATTAATCCTTACCCTCAATCCCCAGTCAGGCCGGATATTGAGTCAAACATGATTTGTGGCAGCCGTAGGGCAGTGTGTGTGTAGGCCACATCGTGTTTGATGTCAGTAAAAGTTTAAAGTGTGTTGACCAGGGACGTCGTTATTATTATTTTTATTATGAAAAAGCGATAAACCTATAGGGGTTATAAAGCACCTGTGACCGTTTTCAAGGGTATTTCTGTCGTAGAAGCTCGCTCTGAGGCCAGGCTTCCCTCTTAATCGTCTGGACAATTGCCAGTGAGAGGTAATCAGATTTGATCCGAGGGGAGGATAGCTCCAGTTCTTTATATCAAAGAATCCTCCTTAAAGGGGAAGGTTGTTGAGAGGGGTGTTGCTGCGTCACATTATCACGGCGGATGAAAGATGAGTAAATATTTTTTTTCGGTACTTCTGAGTCTGCGGTATATAGGTAAGGTTTTGCAATGCCATGACTCTGACCTGTGTTCGAGGCTACATGGTGCTTGGTTTACACCGCCTCCACACCATAACTTTACCAACTATTAAAGTGTAGATTTCACCTCTTGTTACTTGCCTCTCTTCACGGCTGTATATGCATCCTTTCTGTCTTTCATTATTTCCTTCTTTATCTTGCCTCTCCTCTTCATCTTGCTGCATGTTCTGTCAAGCACCGTAACTACTGGGAACGCTTGGAAGCACTTGTACTCGTTGGAAAGCAGGAGGGAGAGATATATCATAATCTACACTTGGAAAATCCTGGAAGGAATGGTCCCAAATCTGCACACAGAAATCACTCCCTACGAAAGTAAAAGACTGGGCAGGCGATCCAAAATGCCCCCAATTAAAAGTAGGGGCGCCATTGGTACACTAAGGGAAAACACCATAAGTGTCCGGGGCCCAAGACTGTTCAACAGCCTCCCATCAAGCATTAGGGGAATTGCCAATAAACCCCTGGCTGCCTTCAAGAAAGAGCTGGACAGATACCTAAAGTCAGTGCCGGATCAGCCGGGCTGTGGCTCGTACGTTGGACTGCGTGCGGCCAGCAGTAACAGCCTAGTTGATCAGGCCCTGATCCATCGGGAAGCCTGGTCATGGACCGGGCCGCGGGGGCGTTGATCCCCGGAATAACCTCCAGGTAACCTCCAGGTGCTCCTCGCCCCATCTTGCCTCTCCCCCGTACATCTTGCTACTTCATTCTCCATCTTGCCTTCCTTATCCATCTTGCCTTCCTTATCCATCTTGCCTTCCCTATCCACTTCCCCTCCCTCCCTCCCCATCTTGCCTCTCCTCTCCACTTCACCTTTTCCTTCACCATCTTGCCTTTTCCCCCTCGCTCTTATCTTTTCCCTCCGCGTCTCACTCTTATCTGCCTGTACCTGTCGCTGGCAGATCTTACCACAACACTCGCCTCCTACGACCAAGTTTAATTATGAATGTAGTTTGCATATCTGACAGGCGTTGCATCAGCCCGTTTTGGCCTCAAGTTAGTTGACGCACGCTTATAAAAATCCTTCTGCGGGTTGTAAGTGTTTGTTCTTGTTGTTGTCGAGTTGCTCAAGTTTAAATCGTATTTTGCACGCCAAGTTTTTCTCCGTGGAAAATAGCAAGTTTTTGGAAATTGCTTTTCGAGATTAGTGAATTTATGCGTAAGTGTTGGTGTTCACTCAAGAGCCATATTCGCCAACAGCGACCGTTCATTTAGGAACTCTGTAGTTCAGAACCAGTGTTCAGAGCTAGTTGTAAATCGTAGAACTAGTCAGATTTAAGTTTATCTACTGTATATATTATTTGGCTTTACTCCATTGTTACCTCCGCTGTCAACCCGCTCAGACCTTGATGTTTGTGTGTCAGATGTGTGTCTCCTTCTCTGCCTATATAGTATTTTGTGTGATATTTTGTAGTGATGAGACGATACCAGAATATTTTGCCTATAGCGATACTAGCAAAATCAGCAGACACCCACCGATACCTGTATATATATGATGTATATATATATAATATATATATATATAATATTATGTATATATTAGATATATATATTATATAATATTATTATATATATATATATATATAATATCATATTTATATATAATATTAATTATATATATTATTATAATTGATTATATATATATATATATATATTATATATATATATATATATATATAATAAATATAATATATATTTTTTATATTTATATTATATATATATATATTATATATATATATATATTATATATATATATATATATATATATATATATATATATATATATATATATATATATAATATATAATATATATATATATATATATATATATATATATATATATATATATATATATAAAATATATATATATATATATATATATAATATATATATATACACACACACACACACACCGATACTTTGGCATGACCCTAATATTTTATTTTGGTAGCCAGAATTTGACAAATCTGCTTGTTTTTCTACCTGAGATGGGGGGGGGGAGTTCCTTAGTGTTGGCGATGGTACTGTACCCTCCCCTTTATCGGATTGAACTTGATTGCCTCCAGTTCTCCCGGAACAATATGAGCCCTACGCCTTCCTATTTAAATAATACTTTTTCAGATCACATGTGTTCTCAAGTGTCGAATATTTTTTCTGTATTTCTACATTTTTTGAAGGCAAAGATTTCAGAACAGGCTTGTGTGGTCTCAATAAAACAGCTTAGCTGCTAGGAACATCTCAAAATGCTTGGAATGCATTCAGGAACGGTGAAGAATGCTGTGCATTCGTGGAAAATGCTTGAAGATTAGATCCCAGTCTACACATTGTCTTAAGAACTTTCTGGAGTAAGTGATACGCACTGAAGTGTAGAATAAACCAGTTAAAAGCAAAGTTTCATAAACACTGAGAAAACTGCCAACATCCACAGTCCAAGACTTCAACTTTCTACTAGCAAATGTAAGAAATATTGCCCAAGCAATGGTACAAGCTTTTAAGAGAAAACAGAGCCATTATCTGCAGAAGGTGCCACATTGTGATAAGTATGAAGTACTGCGGGCAGCTGGCAACAACAACAACAACAACAACCAACAACAACAACAGCAGCGGGGGCGGCGGGAGCAGCAGCAGCAGCAGTGGCGGCGGCGGTATAAGCTTGGTTGACCAGACAGTTTGCAGTGACTGGCTTCTGGTCAAGCTTCTCGACTTTAGAAGCTCGTCGACAGGTCATATATATGTTTCCTTCCCTCTCCTTCATCATCTTCTCACCCCTCTCCATTTTTTGCCACCTTCTCCTTCCTAGTAGATGCCTAGAAACGTTGGCATTTCGGCAGGCACTCGGTTCCGCACCATCTGGCATAAGTTACTCCTAAATACGTAATGATGGGGGTCGTTTGGCATTCAACGACCCTTAGCCAAGCTTGCTGTGGCTTGGGACCACGAGACGACGCACGCGAATCAAATTTGCTATGGTGGTTGCAGAGGGGAATCAACCTTATCAGCTGCCATGACTCAGGTAGAAGCTGAGGTAATCTTTCTCAATCATCTGAAATTTGGTAGACGACCCACGTCTACCTCCCTTATAAACGTTTTTTTTTTCTTTATAGGGGTCAGTGTTATCTTCAAAGGGACACCCACATTAACCGTCTTGGTAGTGTGTTCAAAGACTACGTCAGGTTTCAGTAGGCATAATGTGTAATAATACCTGAGAGAGAAAGTTTGATTTGATAATGAGAGATTACATAATATATTAAGGGAACTACAAAGGAAAAGTGACCGAGAAGCGGCAAAAGGTATTGTATTTGGAGATGTTATCTATTATGATTTTGGATTACCTTTAACCAGGCATATTTAAAATTGTTGCTTAGTGCTCAAAAATCAACTTATCCTCATTTAACTACCTGGAGTGTGTTCCTAGGGTCAACGCCCCCGTGGCCCGGTCCCCGATCAGGCCTCCCGTTAAATGACCTGATCAGCCAGGGTTGGTGCTAGCCGCGTGAAGTCCAACTTAA